TAGCTGGGCGAACACTAAAACAATTAGGGCTTGTCAGCCTGGAACAACAGCTTGGGAAGGATGTGTAGTATAGTGATCAAGAACATGGTCTTATCTATCAGATTGACCTGAGTGGCCTGAATCCTGGCTCTGTGACTTATTAGCTTGTGACCTTGGAAAAGCTACTTAAATTCTGTGAGTTTATCTTTTTTCACCTTTAAAATAGAAATTCTAATAGTTTCTTCCTCATGGGACTATTGTGAGGATTGTGCACATAAATCAGTTAGCCTTCTCCTTGGCATATAATAAGTACCCAGTGACTGTTATTTGAAACCTCCCAAATCATGTGTGAAAGTGATCTGTATCAACACTTTTTTATATCCTGGAAAAACTGAATGGGGAGGGGGATTATGGCAGGTCATTGAGTAAGGTCACCTATGACAATGCGATGTTGAACTAAAGTTGAGGCAAAAGAATCCCAGCTGTACATGAATGAGGACCTGATTTCATTATACATCATTTCATTTAAAGTACTGTTTCCAAGAACCTGTAAATGATATTAAATGAGGATGTACTGTATACGCAGGTGAAAGTATTACAAGTAAGGGGACGTCTGATTTAAATGACAGGTAGTAAGCCTCTAGTCTTCATGTTGTTTGAGGTGTTAAAGACAAAGCAGATTTAATAAAGGACTCAGGCATGATAAAATCATCATGGGTAACTAAGGGAACACGATGTTTGATAGTTATTGATATCCTCATGGTTAATGTAAAAGAGATCAAGGTTATCTTCCCATAAATGTTCCTCAGAATCAAATTGCTGGATTAGAAATTCCCTGAAGTTGATACAGTGGGGGCAGCTCTCAAATTTAAACTGCTAACTAGCTGAAGTCTGAATTAATCAAACTCTGATTTTAATCTTGATTTTCCCATGACAATGGCAGTTAACAACCATCAGAAGTCTTTAAAGTCCTTGTTGTCTCCTAGCATTGTGCAAACATTATAAACATCATTGGGCTATTATTCAAAAAGATACAAAAGCTTTGAATAAAGAACTACAGAAATATGGAGCCTTTGATAGCCAGAAACCTTTGTTAGAATCCTGATTCAAAAAGCAAGAGCCTACCCAATTAGATAATGCAGACGCAGTACATTTTTAGATATGTCAAGGAATTTTCAACAGCTCATTAGGAAAGCAAATGAAATTTCAAAGTCCTGGAAGGCACTGATATGTTCTGTGCTTCCTTTATAGACTATTGACCAGATCATGAGTTTCAATGAGTAGCTGTGTGAATACCAGTCACTAGAGTAGACTAGCTGTATTGAGTGGTTATGCGAGGTGTAATTGGGTCAGTTAGCTAGTCAGCAGGGGTATGACTTAAAAGTTTCCTCAATCAGAGATCCAGTGGCTCTGGCATTAGAAAAACACTGGTCTCAAATCATAGCCACGACACTAGAGCAGGTAAGTTAAATGCTCAGAACCATCATTTAATCACCTTTAAATTGAATTTAAAACATCTACCTCCTAAAGGTGTGCTAAGCATTAGATGTCAGAAATGGATATTCCGTTGAAGTTAAATGAGTATCATTAACAAGTTTATTAACAAAATTAAGCAGTGTCTGGCATAAAGTATGCCTTCAACAGCTACTAGCCTCCCTTTCTTTAGATGTACACAGTCATATTTTATGCCCCAAAAGGATGAGTCTTCTATGCATAAAGAAAATTAAATTTAAAAATTTTTATTTTTTTATTTTTTTTCTTACATCATTGTAGTCCCTATAGAAAATGAAATTCTGTGTGGTCATCCACTGGGTTATAATGAATCAAATGGAGTTGTTGGAATACAGTCACAACCGGCTTATAGCTGAGCAGGACAGATAAGCAGACCAGTGCCATGTAAAGTAAGAAATATAAATCAACGAGCAGGAAGCAGGCTAAAATAGATCCAAGAATCAAAGCCAATACCAGGAAGTGATACCAATGATTTAGTGCCTCAATGGTCTTGGTACCAAAATAGTTCTGCTGACACTTATAAAAGATGTAACTCAATTCCCAGAATTGAGTTATTAAAATGTAGGCAGTGACTCTTACACAAAGTGACATTGAAGATCCTTGACACTTTCCATCCTCTTAGCCAAATGAAGCTTGAAGCATCATAGGGAGACAATGGAATATGGCCACCAATGAACGTGGCTTTATAGATGTGACCCAAGCTTCCAGAGCTCTCCCAAGGGCATAAGGTGTTAGAATTTGCCAAAATGTTGGTATAGCCTAAATTTCTACCTTGTTTGAGTTGATTATTATAGTCATAAGCAAGATGGTACTGGGTGAACAGTCCAGAGTCCAGAAAAGTGTGATAATTGTTACACCATCATGAATAGAGGTGAGGACAGCACACTCCTATCGCTGTAAAGGAGTGTCAGGAACTCATGTCCATAGTCATGTGTTATATCTTCACCCATGCACTATATTATGATGGTTGGACTAAACTATGTAGTATTGTCAGTAGCATTTAATTATTACAGTTACCATCGTGCTGAATGTGAGTGGAATGAAGTATAGAAATGAAAACCACAGGTATTTAGGAGTTGTATTAAAGTTGACAAATGGAATAAAAAGAGAAGTTGATTGCAGAGTCATGACTCCCCCAGAGAGGCCAATCTCTGGGGGCCTCACTAAGGTTCTCACTATGGTGCTAACTTCTCATAGGAAGAATCTTATTTTTTTTTTCTTTTTTAGCTTTTTATTAAGAATTTTTTTTATTATAAATTTTATTTTTATATTCCCCATACAATTGCAACCCCCTTATTTTGACCCTAATGCCTCCCCTCCCCGCCCCTCAGAATCTTATTTTTTCCCAGTGTGCTCAGGGGTGATTAGGATCTGGAGGATAGATGCTATTAAAATTCACACACACACAAACTGATGTATAAACAAAGTACCAATTTATTCATTTATAATGAGAATTAACTGCCAAGCAGACTAGAATATTTAGGTCAACTGGTTAGCAAATTTTCTGCCCATAACTAAGTGTATATGGGAAAGTTATTACAATCAGATTACCAGAAGAGCATGGAGTCAGAGTAAAGGGAGTTAGGTCATAATCTTCATGGCTAACAACACAAATTGGGGGTTTCCTATGCCTATACTCCTATAGGTGGACCTTCCAAGTCCTCTGCTGGTTACTACATCTCTGAATCTAGAGATTACCAATGCTCTCTGACTCCTTTTGCCCTCTTTTCTATAATCCATGCACAACATTCTCTTGTTAACAATTTCTTCTCCAGACTTAGCATAAGATGACTAGATACTATTCTGCTCGGTGGCATCAAACATGTAATAGATCTGCCTCCCTAAACCTTGAGTGGACCTGGTTCGGGGGAAATACCCCAAGCCTTTGTGGTTATAGACTACATTGTGGGTAGTTGGTATCTCTATAAATTTTTCTTTATTAAATTATTCTAACATTGCATATGTTTTAGCAGTATAGATTCACATCTCTTCAAATGTATGTTCTTAGTAGATTTTAATGACTTTCATTCTCAGAGAAATTTCTGTAGGTATAAATTCTGAGGACACCTTCATAGAACTCTATGCTAAGTTATGAGCTCACAATACTTGAAGTGGTAAACAAAATGGTTGATAGCAAGAAGTCAGAAAAGCATTATTCCATATATGTATTCATATCTCCAAGCTGTGTGTGGGATTTCTCACATAGAGAAGAAGAGATTCTTGATTTGGGAATTCCTCAACAAGGGGATTTGAGAAGTAGGAGGTGAAGTTCAAAGCCCAGAAATAATTACCTGTTTGGAGAAGCTATGAAATATGAAGATTTCCTAGGGAAGGTGGTAATGTTGCTGTAGAAGGAAGGTCTATCATCCATCTTTGTGAGAGAGCACACAGTGATAAATTGTGATGCTAAGATAAAGATGGGAATGAAGCCAACAGAATGTTCCTATCAGCATTCTAGAACCACACTGGGATTGCTAAGGAAAATGATTAGTAGTGCTAGATCAGAATGTCTCCAGGTAGTCTCAGAGTTGCTTAAAGTTCAAAAAGATCTACCTGCTAGAGGACCTCACACAATCCCAGTATCCTAGTGAGAATTTCTTCACACTTTTTGGCACAGCTGGAATATATGCAAGGTCTCCTTGTTGTGAGGAATAAAGCGGATGTAAAAGAAACTATTGATAAAGGAGGGCCTTGGTGAATGCAAATAAGGATTGGCGCAGTGGTTAGTGAGGCACTAATGGGGGAAAAGACCTGTTTGCTAATGCCTCAGCATGAGAGTAGTAAGGTGGATTTAACTATTGTCAAAATTGGCACAATTCTCCAGGAGCAAGGTCAGTGTATATTGCACTTCATATCCTCATAGGTCTTGATGGCTGGTAGGGAGTATGAAATAACTGATCTTTCTTCAAGACATCCATTATGGGGACATATATCAGCACCAAGGAGCAGGTAATGGAGCACTGGAAATTACCAGCAAATGCTGATCAATTGATATCCTTAGTATTTTAGAACTGCGCCTTTCCAGAATAGCACTATTTAGTTGATGCATGCTAAGAGTACAATATCAGCTATCAAATCCCCACTTTTGAGATTTATGCAGATGGTGTTGATGTACATGCCCCAGGATTTTTCATATGTTTCAGAAATATGTCTGTTTTTCAAGATCCTCAACTAGATGAGAATCCCTACAGGTGGTCCAAAAGGGTAGAGCTCAACAGTAGTGGACAGTGATTTTAGATGGCGACAGTCCTGAGGCCTTCAGAGTCAGTCTTCAATGGAGATGCATCTGGCCATGTTCCCTGTCTAAGGACATGCTACGGACACAGTAATTATTATAAAAAACCTTCCCCAACTCTCTAAACAGTTGCCATAGGTCATTATCCTAGAGCATTTTGATTTCGCATTCTAGAATATAAAGTACGTTATTGAGGGAGAGAAGAGAAAACAGACCAGTCGAGTTTGGCAAAAACATGTATCTGGATGAAGGACCATCCCGCCAATAAGTAAACCAACAGTTCAAGTAGGGTGCTCAGAAGGCCATACCATTTGGTTTGTCAATAGTCAAGTGATAGTTTATTGGGCAAGCAGGAAACTTTAAATGGCAACAAAATGTATAATTGTATGCCAGGGTGCAGACCTGTGTTTCAATGAATGACTAGTCAATTAGGTGGACCGGGCTTCAGCCTCTACTAGGAGAATGTTGATAGAATATGGGAATGCAATTAGGACTTCAGATAAGGGTCCCAAGTCAACAGAGAACCAGGATACAGATCAATGAGGGGGAGGGTGAAAGACTTAGAGCCAACAAATTCAACCCAGATTTCACCCACTGGTGGGAATTGGGTTACCAATATACTTCCAGGGTTGTTTTCATGGGTTCAAACTAGACAGTGTTTTGCCTGTAGGCTTTTAGTACTCTCTGCAGTTGGGACCAATTCCTCAAAAGTACCTGTGAATTGTTTCATCATTACTATATCATCTTTGGTGATGGGTTACCAAATGAACAAGATCTGATTGAACTCATAGTGCTTCTGGGAATTTAAACAGACAGTAAAGTGGTAATACAGTTCCCTACCTGTACTTTAAACATTAGTGTAGGTTATAAATCAGTAAGGCTGCAGGTGAGAAGGATGTATGTTTACAACCTGGTCCCTCTTGCTGGTGAGTTGGGTTATACTTGCTAGGGCGCGAGAATGTTTGGCAAGGCAATCTCTTATAATGTGACCAGCCTGGCTGCAGTAGAGGCACAAGTGAGCTTCTTGCTGATGGGCTCATTTGGCTGGAGTGAGAGGGGATTGGCTTCCCCTCAATTGTATAATATCTTCTTTGGGTGGTGGATCTGTGGGGCTGCAGAGGACTTGATGGTGGATATGGGAAGCCAACACTGAGAGCAGTTCCTCTGCTTGTAGGAGCTCTGGCCTGTCATTATGTTTTTTGTCCAACTGAATACACTGAGTGAATGGATCTGGGAGGTTGTCCATCATGTCTTTTCCACTCACTTTATCCTGGATGGGCTCAACTAATCCCTCTTGGAAGTAGTCACACTGACTGATTTCACTGCAACTCAGATTTTGAGCATGGAATTGCAAAGTAATAGCATCCTGCTGGGTATTGTCTCCTTTGTCAACCTTAGTATTCACCAAAGGCTTTATTTTCTGTTTATGGGTTCACTGAATGATGGGTGGAATTCAAGAACAATGTTTTTATATTGCTTCAGCACAGTACTCTGGCCAGGTCTGGATATGACACCACACTCTCCATCTGCTGAGATAGGCAGTCAGAAAATAACTTTACCTATTTGACAACTCCCATGATTTCCAATCCTGCAGATGATACCCAAGTAGTCACCTGAGCAAGAAAATCTGAGAGACTGACAGAGACACTATGAAACAGGGAGAGATGCTCAAGTGAGAAGGGACCAGGCATGACTTTCCCCCTCAGAACGGGGTTCTCTTCTGTCAGATGCTGTGCTTGCCATGGCAGAGTCAGATTCTCTGCCTGAAGGGAGAGATGCACTACCTGCCAGCAGGTGGTGATTCTATGTATTTCTCCATTACAGCTTCTGGAATCAAGTGGAACTAAAAGTTTGAGTGCCAGTGCTGGAGACCAATAGGCAGACAGTGTCATGGGCAAGTAGCCAAAGCTGGTAGCTGAGTTGAGAGATGCCGGAAATTGATGCTCACTACTCAACGCTGTCTCTTCTTCATGGAGAATGCCAGTGTTCTGCACATGCAGAAGAAATAAACTACCTTAGGATACATAGGGTTTGGAATTAAGATGTAAATATGAATGTCATAGTAGAGTTCTGTCCCCACTCCCCTTCCATGCAATATAGGGGCAATTTGCCCTCAGGCTAAGGCTGTGGGTCTAAAGTATCTTTGAATCAGAGAAACAATGAATTTTACAATCCATAAGGGATCTTATAACTCATTCAGGACAAATTCACACTTTTAGAGAGAAGAAAACAATCCCAGAGATGTAAAGAGGTTTTCTCCAAGCCATACTAGAACTGGCACGTCATCAGGATGCCTGTCTAAAACAGCACCTCTTCCAAGGCCACAAATGTGTGCTTGAGTATAGTTCATGACCCAGGAGTATCAGCATCACCTGGGAGGTTGTTAGAAATATAGACCCCGGCCTCCCTGGTGGCCTAGGGGTTAAGTCTCAGTGCTACTACCATGACGGCCCTCTGTAGCAAAGTGGCTTGAGTTTGAACTCTGGCCAGGGAGCTACCCATATGGCACAGCAGACCTCTCCTGTCTTGCCCGCTGCTCCCCTCAGCAGTGTACTTAGGTCAATCTGCCTGTTCTGTTCCCCACTCTGTCTCTGGTGAATCCTCTCACCCCCTGCACCTCTGGCCTATACCCCAGTTGTACACTAAAGTAATAATTCTTAAAAAAAAAAGAAATATACCCCCCGCCAGACCTACTGGGATACGTTAACAAGGCTTCCCAGGTGATTCAAATGTGCACTGACATTTGAGACAGGTTGCTCTAGATCATACTTAGCCCAAGTTGGAATAATCCTGGTTGGATTTGACCCTCAATGCCCCATTCCCAGCGTGCATTGCTGTGGGATTGGGCATCCTAGTCCCTGTTTGAGGTCGCATTTGGTTACCATGGAGATTATTTAGATGTTACAGGAAGCACGAAGAGGTGAGGTTGAGAACCTAGCAAACAAGAACAGAATATTCTTTAAAGTATGAATGTCGAGATGTCCAGCTGTCCTTCCTCATTGATAATAAGAATACAGCAACCAGTTAAACCCAAGAGCCCACATTATCCTTCACAGCTATTCTGCTCTCCCAGGCAGTAGAGTAGAAGAGCTTGGTCTGTAAGTTCTAGGTCAGACTGACCTGGAGCAAATACTGGCTTGACCGAAAGTTGTGTGACTGGACAATCGATTTTCAAACTCTTAACATCGGTTTCCAAACTTAAAGGAGATGGCTTTAATACCTACCTCATAGTATTAAGATTAAATGAGATGAATAGAGATTAGCCCAGCTTCATGCAGATGGCAAGGGTTCCATAAATGTTAATTATCATTAATCTAGGTTCACAGTCTGTTATTTGACTGTTATAGAATTGAATTTTTCTTGGATTTTTAGAAAGTTAACACAGGGTATGTACTGTTTATTACATAACACTCCCAGTGGTGTCTGGGAAAACATCCCATAATTAAGCCATTAACATTTCTGCAGAAAAAAAAAAAGTCTGAATATTCATATTAAAAGAGATAAAGACTAAGTTCATGTAAGTTCAGGTCAGGTTTTGCTGCCAAATGAGTTTTGCAGCAAATTAACAAAAAATAGCTTCCGTTTTACAGGGCTTTTGATTACAGAATTGAAGATAAGGGACTGTGGATTTCTTCCAACTGTTTTTTAAATTTTTTTATTGGAAGGATGTGATTATAGCTTTTCCTTCTCTGTCCCTGCCTCCTGCCCTCCCCCCCCCGGTCCCAGAAGTTCTGTAGAGGTCTGCTGTTTCTTCACAGAATTATGTATTCAAGGTGGCACAGCATTTAATTTTTCTAATTATGTAGCACTGGTGAAACACTTGCTAAAATTATAAGCATTAGCCCAAATGCAAATCATACAATAGCACTGTTGTCAATGGCAGTTGCTTGATCCCTCAAAGGAACGCTACTTTGCATTATTATTTCAGAAATTAGTCTCCTTTTTTGAGGTCAATGGCCTTCTATTGGATTACTGCAGTAGATCCTGGACAGAGCATGCCTGCCTGGAAGAGTTCTAGTCCATAGTCAAGAGGAGATGAAGCAAAGATAGAGCTGGAACCTAAAATGATTGGGGTGGGGAGGGGTTCAACTAGTGAGTTCGGACCAAGTCTGACACAAACCTGCCTACATGTAAGCGTCTATTAATTGATAGGTGTTTCAACTACAAAAACCACCACCAAAACATAGATTTAGCAAACTATCACAGACCATTTTGGTGTCTGTGTTCATTTTGACTCAAAGGCATGGTTAACATTTTCTCTGAACATAAAACCACTCCACTCTGGAATCCCCTGAGACCCCATTTGGAGAATGGCCTGAAGCACCCTGCTCTTGTCAGAGCGCTGCGTGAGTTTACACTGCTTTATTTTCAAGTGGTTCCACATAACTGATCGGAATAGAGTTTTCACCTAGGGCCATGCAAACACCCAGAGCAGTTTCTCTTATTTTTAGGCTCTAAACCTTCTGAGGAATGTTGTGGCCATAGTAACTAAACTGAGGCAAATATTTCTCAGGAGATGCCCAAAGGGGTTGACTGTTTAGAGTTGTTTGGAGACTTGGGTGTGATCTTAGTTCTGCCAACATCTAGACTGACAGCCTTGGGCAAGTCACTTCCTGTCTCTGGATCAGATTCTGTGTCTGTACAGTGAGGTAGTTATGCTTCTCAAACTTAATCACACATGAGAAATTCCAATTCAACAAGGTTAGCAGGAAACCTAGAAATTTGAGACTTTTATTGGCACCCGGATGATTCTGCAGTAAAATATCTTCATATTTTATCCTGGGAATATTGGGTGACTGACCCCACAGAGCTCTAACTTTTGTCAGAGGTTCACAAACTTCAGGGTACATCAGAATCCTCTAGGAGTGTAGCAGGCAGATTCTTGGAGCACACCGCTAGCCAGTGTAGCTCAGTGGGTCTGGATGGAGACCAGATTATCTGCATTTCAATCAAGCTCTGCAAACGACGCTGATGCAGAAATTTCCCAGACAACACTTTCAGAAAACTCTAAGTACTCTCAAAAGGCCTTTTCTGCTTCAGCACTATATTTTTGAAAGTAGGAAATATTTGGGTTCAAAAGTGGCCCATGAAGTCTGTGATATGTGTATAGCTTCTGTCCAAAGCTCTGCCGGAGCCTGCATGGTCACTTTTAAACAGGGAACTGGTGCAGACCTGGCTCAGGCATGTGTCATGTAGCTGGCTTGAAGGCAAGAGAGGGTAACTGACTCTGTTCTCAGAGTTCTGTGGTTCCTGCTGGGAGATATACACTTGTCAACTCTGTCTTTGAAGTTAAAAAAAAAAAAAAACTATCGCCAAGTCAGAACCAGAGCAAACCAGGTTGGGTCAATCTGGTCATTACTAGGACTAAGACCACATACCAACTGTGTCCTGGCTGCTTATGAAAGTTCCATGTTTCATTCTTTCCTGCCACAGTTTCCCCAGTTTTCTATTGTGCATAACTATTAACGAGGCACATTTACTCCATCAGGTTTCCCGCTCTGTGGACCTATTTAACATTCCTCCTAAGGTCTTCTCTTTCTCCAACCGTCTCTCCTTTGTCTCTGCAGGCTGCCAATCACAGGCCTGAGGAATTGTGCTCAGCCACCAGTTTAGAATCATGGCTGTTCACATCAACCCAGCAGGACCTGACCTATTTGTTAGATTGGGAGAAAAGAACAGTGCAAAGAAGGAGAGCTAAAAAGAATGGGTGACTTTTTCTAGGAAGATAGAGGCTAGGCAGAGGGCAATGAGATCAGCCACTTGGTAGGCACCTAATACCAGATACAAACATAAAAACACAGAAGACAGACTCCATGGCTTCTTTGCTGTACTTGCCAAATTATCCAGGTCCTGAAGGGTAACAATAGCATATGGGCCCTGGTATGAAGACTTCAGGGAAGTAGCCATGTTCTAGAAGTTTGAACTACTGAAGATGAAATGTCCTGCTAACAGCTCAGAAGATATTACAACAAGCAGCAGGTAAACTTTGTAGCAGGATTGGGTCTTAATCTTGTTGCAAACCTACAAGTACTGTAGATGCGGTGGGTCTTTGACACACTCCATCAGTGCAGAGGTTTCCATTTGTGTTCAGTTCTATTTTCATTCAGTTATGCTAGACACTTTATAGGCCGTTTGGGTAATAACACTTAGGATTTCATTAGTAAGTAATTTATGCAGTTTATATGCTCTGATTGGTGCTGGCTGCTTGGAACTATAGCGGAAGGACTGGTCCTATGCTGGCCTCGCGGGTAGAATGCCATGAAGGTTGTCAATGTCTGCCATGGGCTCTGGAGGGATCACTGCAACAGAGCTACATGCTGTTGCCACTTCTCTACCAGATCACCAATCCTCACTGCAGCCTGAAGGCTTAGGCATGATGATTTGCATTTACAAAAGGATACCAAGTTCCTAAATACACTTCCAAACACATAACTCTGTCTACTCTTGTCTCTCCCCTCACCAGAGAGTCCATTTCTCTTTTCTTAAATGCCCAACTTAAGATTAGCCTCTTTGATGCAGCCTCCTCTGACTACTGAGGCTCTTACTAACTTCTCCCTTTTCTGAGCCATGAAGGACTCGGGACTGTATGCTCCTTCCAAGAGAGAAAATCCTTCCTTTGAACTCTGATTCTTTGCACAGGGCTGGCCTCATAGGCATTATATAAATCTGTATTGATGGATATGTTAAGATGGCAAGGGGAAGGACAAGCCAACAAATCCTTCGTAGTCTGAAGTTAAAATTGTGATAAGATCTGGAAGCCAGCCATGAAAAACTTGTCAAAATCAGAGGAAGCAAAGTAAGCAAGCAGTGGAATACGATTAGCAGTGAGCTCTGAACTTGAGGGAAAGACCAGGAGACACAAGCGTCACCAGCTCTTAGTTTTTTGATCCCCTATCTCTCCTCCTTCCTTAAGCCCTAAATATTCAGTTATCTTCTATTTTGCAATCTAAAAACACATGATAAGGTCTGACGAAAACTTCTGTACTACTTCTGGGTTCAAGAAAGCAGTCGAGAATGTTTTGCATAAGTGAGTATGCACATTACCATTTTTGCAATAGCAATGAAATGAAATAATTTAAATTGAGACCATCTCAATAAAGCTGGGTTGAGCTGTCACCATATGAATTTAATTACCATCTAATAATGAAGATATTACAAGAGCAACCCAAAAAAGAATGGTTACATCCTCATTCCACTTTACTGTTTATGTGTACAGAGATTTAAATTCTGGAAAAAAGAACACTTTCATATTAATTGTTTCATTCAAGTCTTGACCACATTTTTGCTGTTTTCCAGGTCAGAAAGCCAAGGTGCTGAGATATTAAGTCAAATGAAGAGGAAGCCTGATACATGTGTAATTGCCTCTGAAGGACTCTCGTGTAGAACACTTGTTCTGAGAGAAAAGGAAGGAGTGATCTGAAGATGCAATTAGAAGGATGGGGGTGAAGATGGATGAACGTCTCCATGATGTAAGTTATGAGTTGCATATCATCAGAAGAATATAAGCAAAGATAGGATTAGCATTTGGTGAAAAGTTGGAATGGGTACCCCAAGAATCATGTAAGAGTGAGACATTATAAAGATTACACCTAGTCCTTTCAAAGCTTTTGATTCTACAACTTGCTTGAGCACATAGCTAAAACTGAGTGCTGCCACTGCCTGCAGTCTAGATCTAATTGTCAAACCTACAGCCAACATGAGCATTATCCACCTTGCCCATTGATTTCATAGTTCCCGTTCCTGGGGGACACTCAATGGCTGAAACACAGCAGAACTTGTTTTCCAATTTGAGGGCTTAACTCGGTTTCTCTCAGTCAATTCCCAATATCTCCACCACATCAAAGAGTTCTTGCTGTTTCAAGTAAACAATTGTGGAAAGAGTAGAAAAAGTCTCATCTGCAGATCACAAATGGTCATAAAATGAGCCCTTTAAA